GCAGACGTAATTAAAGGTGATAATTTTGTTGAATACTCTTCGGTTTCAGTAAGTGTGAAAGTTTTTTTATTGCTTAGTGTTTTTGACTGTTTTAGCTCCATCATTGGTTCCAGTATCTGGAAATTTGCTACAGGAAGTTGGGAAAGACAAGGTTAGTTTTTTTTGACTTTTTTAGACCTTGATAAACAATTTTTTATTCTTTGCAGTAATAGTGGTAATTATTTCAGTGTTATATGTTACAATTCACTTCGTCAGATGGCGAAGACGTCAACATTGTCTTGGATGAGAATAAGCTTAATTTTCTTTACAAAGGTTTGTTTTCGCTGTGAATTGAAAAAGATGGTTCTGGTTATTTAATTTGATTATAATATTGTGCATCATAATGTCTAAATAATTGTTTTTAATTAGAAGACGGTTTTTTTTGAAGATGCGATATTTTGTTGTCTTTTAGACTGAAAGAAAAAATTTCTGTTATTCAGATTTTAGTTCTATTATTTTTTCTTGAAAATTTGCTAATGCAGTGTTCTTTTATGCTCGATTTCTTTTTTGGTCTAATCTTATTTTGAAATCTAACTTCGGTGGGGCAGTAACTGACTGTCAGAAATGTTTTGCATTTAATTTTTTTTTTGTATTCCTTCTTCTGTAGTCTCCAGCTAAACTGCCTTAAACATCTTTTGTGCTACTACATTATACAAAAAATATAGATGGAATAATTTCAGAGCTCAATACAGCCCTTCAGCTGGTTTCCAAATACACTGAACAGGCGTGACATCAACTTTGTACTGAGTTTTATTTAAACTCTCAAATTAGCAAAAGGGTGTTGGATTTCTTAATTCAAGTTGAGTATAAAACTGTATAAATTATTATTTTTTTTCATTGGTGGTATGAACTGGACGTGTGAATTTCAATCTCGTTTTTGTCTAAATTAATATTGGTAATTTATTCTTACCAATTGCAAAGGTTAGACTTCTTTTGACCAGAAAGAAAAATTTTTAAATTTAGTTTGATATACTTTTTGACAGTAAGGGGGCAAAGTTGGTTGAAAATGTTTATTTCCTATCAGTTTGTTCCACAATATACATTCGTTGTTACTGCACATATCTGTTCACTCGTTTATCGGCTTTCATTATTTACTGCTGTTTTTGTCGCCATTTCATGATTACTTTGTCTTGTTTCTTTTCAAGTGATGATGATGATAATCAAAAAGTCTAGGTTTCAGTAAAAGTGAAATAAGATGATATTTTCTTACTTTTGAAGGAGGTATGAAAACTGTGTTCAGTCTGTAAAAAGAGTACTGTGGGTTTTTTATTTGCTTGTTTATTAACAATTATACATTTTAAGAAGGATGAATAAAAAACAATAAGAATTTGTGCGGAATTACAAGTTAAATTTTTCCTCTCCCGGCGCTGCTTTGATGGAGGCAATCATGATTCTAGGCTGGAAAAATTTTGGATATTTATAAGAAAAAAAAAAAAA